TATATATATATATATATATATATATATATATAAATAAATAAATAAAATATATATATATCGCCGCATATATATAGGCCTATATATGTCAATAAATAAATACATATATATATATATAATATAAATATATATATATATATCGCCGCATACAACACGCCGTCGCACATCACGCTCAGAACACTCCGGGAATCATTCTCCAGCTAGCGATGTCGCAATACTCATCCCACTTGTCACCGTACTTCATGCGACAACGGCGTTCGTCCCGACACGACCGATGCAGGAGAAAAACACCGATGTACGCGAAGTAGAGGAAAGGCACCCACCAGTGATCGTGAAAGCAGGCCGGCAGCGCCCACGCCACCGCCGTCAGGATCTCAAAGAAGTAATTCACGTGGCGACCGACGGCCCACCAGCCGGACGCGAGCAGAAGCGACGACGTCGCAGCGCCCCCGTGCGGCGGGTACGTCGCCATGACGATGAGACGCGGCGGCCGACAGCACACCTCGCAGTTTCCGGCCGTCTCTCGCATCTTGCGTCGCTGGAAGTCGACCCAGAAAGTCATCACCATGACGAGGAAGCCAGCGATGAAGAGAAGGAGGGCGAGCCACCAGTGTACGGACGGAGCGTGGTAGCGCATGTCTACGGCCGTGAGCGAGTAGAAGCAAGGAACGAGACACACGTACGTCCACGTCGTCAGGAACCCTGCTCGATCAATGTGCATGTCGATACCTTTCGTGTACCCGTCCTCCGTCCAGAAAAACTTTGCGATGTAGACGGTCTGCATGAGCGTGATCACCGACGCCGCCCAGTTGCAACTGTACGTTTCGACGTGAGTTTTCCACGATAACCACACGATGAGCTGCCAGAGCATGATGCCGAATCGAGAGTTGACGAGCAGTTTCACGTCGACTTTCTCCCACAGCACGCGCGGGTACAACTCCGCGCCCCAGTAGAAATCGAACACGCGGTGACGAGACGAACTGTAGTCGGTCCCCGACGGATAGTACGTTCCCTTGAGGTAGAGCAACGCGCTGATGGCGAAGCCGTAGATGTTGAGAGCGCCGGCAAGGTGTGGCAGTCTATCGAAGAACGGCTTCGCTTCAAAGGCTTCGAAGCCGATGAGGATCGCCATGATGAAGGTGTTGATCGCGTAGTAGCGGAAACCACAGTTGTTGTAGACTGGCACGTGTCCGCTTCTCGTCTGCGGACCTTCGTATTTCTTCCCGCCGAGGACGAGCTGCAGGAGACACGCCCAGGCCGAGAATACGGCGATGAACAGCCACACTCTCCATTCGCCGTAGCCGGCCAGCTTCCACGACTCCACGTACAGGTCGGCGAACTTCAAACGGATGATGACGTCGTCGGTGACGTTGCATGACGTCACCGGTGCGCGCGTCGCGTCGCTTCCGGTTATATCGCCGGCGGGAACGTCGTAATGTTCACTGTCGTTGAGATGATTGTATATTGTTTGATTGTGCGTTGTTTTATTGTATAGTGTCTGATTGTACGCGGGGACACCGCCACAGCCCGCTGGTCCGCCTAGCCCGTCCACGTTGTTGCGGTGCGCGGGCGTGAGGTATATGTACCCTAACAACACGATGCAGATGTTGGGCGCCAAGAGCATGTGCAGCAGCGGGCCGATGTTGTAGTGGAATTGGCGCGAAAACTTCTCGCGAAACGTCGGTTCGTGTTGATAGAACACGACGTGTTTCACGTGCATTCGAGTCATCTTCGGAGCGGATGTGACGTATCGACACGGTCGTGCTTCCGTGTGTGTATTGTCAGTCAACAGATCTGTCTCAACAGCTTGCCAGTCTTCGACGTTGTTACTTTATGATTCACAGCGTTAGAAAAACCTGGTGAAAACTATCCCGCGTCGAAACTAGTTGTTCATCGCAACCAATTTGTAGAGCTAGATGGCATCGAATTTCAAGCTTGTCGAACCCACGCGGAGTAGTGGCAGTTGATCTGCGTCAAATAAAGATGTTTCAGGCCTCTGTCTACACAATAAGGCAGACGAATAATATACGTGCGCACAATTGCACGCGCACACACGCACGCACGCACGCACGCAAGCACGCACGCGCGCGCGCACACACACACACACACAAACACACACACACACAAACACATACGCACACACACACACACACACACACACACACACACACACACACACACACACACACACACACACACACACACACTACACTACGACACACGAC